GAGAGTTAACAAATTATGAGCGTGTGTGATTAGTTAGCTTTCCACGCTTTCTTTTCGATACCAAGCAGAGTTAGATCAGGGCTCCTTTGTCTCGTGGTCCGTAAGAAATGAATCGATTTAAGTTCCAAAGATTGCTGAATGTTAGCCAAATAATTTTGAAAAGTGAATTACAAAGTAAATCCTAAATTATAAAACTTTTCATTTATGAGAATATTTTCGGTGGCGAGCTCAAGCAAAATAACATTGCATCACGTTTGCCTCGAGCCTCATACTCGCCAGTAAGAACTCATTGCGTTCACACCTGCCGCAGAGTTTCAAATTATCGCTGGATCATCGTCGGCCGAAGTTTTATCACCATAACACTTGTGAAACTTTCAACAAGACAAACGTTGCCGCCATCTCGCGGCCTTTGAATGTCACGATCGCTACAGACACGTCCCGCGTCTGCCTTATTTAAGGACCGCTTTAGCGAGGCCGGCAATCTAGCCCTACCGTCAGTCTTTAATGTTATCGCTCATTTAACGGCAACCTCAGCTATTAAGGAAAGAAGCAGCGAAGAAGAAGCGCAGTTCTTCACATCATTACTAGGAGCATCCCTGCCATAATGCACAGCGGGACCTTCAACCCGGACGACATTCCCACGACTTGTGACCTGAGAGACGACATGGAACTTGTTGCGTGACTCTCTGAAATTTGCAAATACTTTTCGAGTTCAAGCTTTGGCACACTGAAGGACATGAGGAAACACGTGGTATATCCATTTGTGTTCTTTGAAAGGTCCTTGTGGTTTTGAACTCCACAGGAAAAACTGTACTTCAGCATAATTCGTTTCGTTACTTGGCCCCATTTGATAAACGAAAAAAATAACAAATGACGATTTCGTCAAGACGCTTAAAATAACAATGGTTCCTATACGTGCCTGAACAGCCAAAGTCAGCATCGGTCAAGTCTCATAAAATGACTGGAAGACTCTAGAGTCACACAGTCTTACTTATGATCCGCGTAATGCCAATGGCTTCTTTAGGGTCAATTAGGATCCTGGCTTAAGATTTAGAGTCCTGAATTCGTTATAGCGCATTATATGGTCTGCGTGGCCACCATCTCGATATTACTGCAATAAAAGGGGGCGCTCTGGCCCGACTTATATTTGCCATTGAATTGATTTCTGTTCCTGCTTTGAAAAACGGCAAGTCGTGTGAGTTAATCGAGGCTCTATAATAGGCACTTGAACGAATCAGATATTATTTTAGTCAAGGATTAAGTTATGCAAATATGCCGTAGTTGAAATTGAATCATTCAAGATTGATTTAATTGATAAATATATGACCTCGGCGAAAGTTGGAATATATCAAATTGTAAGGCGAAAAAGGGGAGGGAAGAGTAGCTGCATTGGATTTTTATGCAGTGAATTTTTGATGAATTATCAAATTCCACTAGCTGTTTAGATTAGCTAATTACCAGTAAATGAAACAACATATTGGAAGGAAATGGAATATAATATCGTCATGCATGAAGTGTTCAAACGTTATCCCGTAGAGTTACAACAAGCTAACAAGTGATCAAATGAATAAAAGATGTTCTAACAGCATTGTGAATGTAAATTGCCAGCTTCTAATCTATTTTATTTTTGTGCACTGAAACATTTATAAAACCACACTCAGAATTGCGTCACAATTCCCTTAAAGCACCAGCATTTTACGTCTCCTAAATTTTCCTCTTTTCCAATCGATAACTCAGAATTTTCCCCGCCTATAAATCTCGAATTAGCATATATTGCCACTTGGTCTTGCTTGGCAGGCCTTAACGAGTGAGTTTGGAAAATTCTTAAGGCTTCCTTCACGGCGCGCATTTAATTTTTTTTTTTCAAGCGCCCACTGCGCATGCGTGCATGCAGTGAAGGAAGCCGTGGACTGGGCGCGCAATTTTATGACACCATACGCGTAATTATGCAAATTTGGCGGCCATGAGCGTTATCTATACAGCGATACGATATTCCGATCGTATCGTGACCGAACATTGTGTGTAATGCGGGACCTTTGAACTCTTTTTCAGGGGCTCTCAATCCAAAGGAAGCGAACTACGGCAATATGTGAAATTTGCATTACGAAAATTCACCTCTGATTTCTGACTGAATTTCAGTTCCTTTTTCGAATCGCTTTAAGCAAGCAAAGAAATTAACTTCGAACCCCGCTGCAATTTTTTAATGCATTTCTGAAGCAGATAATTTTTAGGCTCATCAAATGCATAATGAAAATTTGATTCTCACCGCCAGATGAAAATAAATGTCTGAATACGGAATTGATGGAAGCCAAGTATTTTAAACAATTAATTGAAAGTAACTTTAAAAAAATCTCTCCAATTTGTAAAAGAAGAAACTCTGAAAAAACTTGTCAACATTATTGCAGATCTTATACGACCTTAACAACAATGTAAAACCCCGAATATTAATCATTATAATCGTTCGATATATATCTTGACTCTTCCCCTAATAATATCACGTTCAAGATAGTTTGTTAATAATAAATAAAAATAAAATAAAAAGCATCCACTTCTGATAATAAAGCCAACATACATATGAGTTCTGAGTTTCATAAATATGTTGAATATGAAGCAGCATATTCAACATTATTAAGCACTCATAATTGCTTAAAGAAAATTAACACATGAATCAGTTTCTTTTTACTGTCTCAATGAGTGAGAAAGATGGAGATGCAGAATGTAACATTGTAACTAAAACAAAACGTTAGTTGATTACAATTATAAAAATCCATTCCAGCCACAGTTCCCTCAAAAAAAAAACAATGAGCATTAGTTTCTGTATAAACTATGGAGTTTATTTCTTCTAAATCAAAGTTAACCTTAAAAGTTTCTCTGGACATCATTTGATTTAATGAAATTTTAAAATTTTCTTGCTTGTCCAAAATGTTCTTCCCACAATTTCTCAAGAGCACCATATTCATAACATTCAACACGAGGAAATTTCTTCGTAATACTGTTGACTATGCACTTGTATTAAAGTAAAATTGCTGAATAAACGTGTTAAACTAAATCATGTGTATCACTTGCACTTCACATTTGATTTAAACTATCTTATAATGAAGGAATAAACTCTGAGAGTGACTTGAATGCTGCTCAGGAAGCTATCTCGGCTGTCTAGGCCGTGCCCGGGTAATTAGTCTTGATAAACGAGCAGATTAGTAGTAGCGCTAAACATGACCTAACTCGGTAATTAGTTAATTATATGATCATAATATAATATGCCTTGCAGTCCAAGACATTAGCGCACAGCAACAGCAACAACCTCTCGGGCAAAAGTGATACCCATAATAGATTTCGTACTCTAGGGGTTGGGTAAACTGAGAACTGTTCGCATCTGAGAACTGTTAGTCTTAGAACTGTTTGCATCTGAGAACTGTTCGCATCTTAGAACTGTTAGTCTTAGAACTGTTCGCATCTGAGAACTGTTCGCATCTTAGAACTGTTAGTCTTAGAACTGTTCGCATCTGAGAACTGTTCGCAAATGAGAACTGTTTGCATCTGTGAACTGTTCGCATCTTAGAACTGTTTGCATCTGAGAACTGTTCGCATCTGTGAACTGTTCGCATCTGAGAACTGTTCGCATCTGAGAACTGTTCGCATCTGAGAACTGTTCGCATCGGAGAACTGTTCGCATCGGAGAACTGTTCGCATCTGAGTACTGTTCGCATCTGAGAACTGTTCGATCTGAGAACTGTTCGCATCTGAGAACTGTTCGCAAATGAGAACTGTTTGCATCTCATAAATGTTCGCTTCGTGTTACTCACTTAAGCGTCATGAGTGTTCATGAAACATCAATAATTCTAGTTCATCTGTTCCGTACAGGAAATTTTATATAATTTTAAATAATTGGAATCTTCGCTACTCGTGAACATTCCAGACTTGATCATTATAAAAAATCGTCAACTCACTTCGATTCAAATTTTGAAAATAAATGCATGATGATGTAATTCAGATTTTTACTGATGATTAGGTTTTTTTGCCGAAGGTCTAAGATAACTGTCTTATTATCAGCGTAAAAACAGTGCTGCATCAGCACACACACACATCGACTGCTGTGTGCTGCATCAGCACACAGTAGTCGAGCAAACACTATGCAGAAGTACTTGGAGTTGCTGCAGAGTGACTTGCAATACGGGCTAAAAAACATAATAAACTCGAAACGAATAATTTAAAGAGCTGTAAATTATTATAAATATCCTAGAATGCTCGTAATTTAGCTTTCTGAAGAATTTATAAATTAACAAAGGTGAGCTGGATTACGCAAGCCCTGATGCGTGACTCTGTGAGCTGAACGTTTTCAAGAACTTGGCAAGTTTTTGATGCCATTAATATAGAGGTGCAATAACTTTAGTACATAATTTCTAAATGGAAAAAATTAAAGGGAAAGATCTTACACGAAACTTTTTGGTTGAAGATCTTTTAGTCCCGCTTTCTACATTTTCGAACGATTTTTTAAATTTCCTCTGTAGTAGTGAAAAACTAAGAATGTGTCAATGCAGAGGATTCGCTGTGGAATTTACGCGTATTTGTATAGTATGAAAATATACGGAGCAAAAAATATTTTTACGCGTACCTAGAAACTTCAAAGGAAGTCACATTTTTCTAAGATATATTTTTTAATTTCTATACGAATCATTTCCGTTAACTCAAAGAAAATTTTTATTTTTGTATTGCTTTAGTGATGATCCTGTTGGTGCAGCACTTACCATCCTTCAGCCCAATTTTCCAATCATATTATTGCGTTTCAGGCAATGAACGAAGATACAAATTAAATATAAAATCATTATTCTTATCTTCCACTTATACGACCCGCAACCGAAATTTCTATTGATGAAAGACTTGAGAATATGTAGGCATGAAAATTGAATTTTATTAACTGTGGACACACGATCCTTCACTTGACATACCGCGCACGCCCGGCAACCACGGCAGGCGCATGCAGAAGTTTGCGATGGCCTCACCTCTGACGGATTCCCTTGGCAAATATTCCTAGGCAGAAGATGGGCCTCACTAAAGCCCGTCACAGGAGACTGTGTCTTTGCTCACTTGAATTACTGAAAGTTTAAATATTCTGTCACCGACAAGTTTTCCATGATAATTTTATTTGAACAACATCACGTTATCTAATTTCATAGTAGTTTTATTTAAAAATTATTTTGTTCACTTGAGAGCAGCAGTATTACTGAAATAAGATAGTTAGTACTTGGCTCGCGAGGTGCTAGACTGTCACACGGGAGCGCGCAGCACGACACACACACCCTGCAACGGCTGGACCAGCACTGACTGGAGTCGGCGACCACGAGAGCGTCGGTGCCGCGGCAATGGCACGTCCCTGGACCACAACAGCTATGGCAACGATGATGCCTCGTCAGCTGTTGCCGCACCCTCAGCCTGTCTCCTGATTGGTCGGGGCACACCTTATGCACTCGCTTATGTCTCCTCTCATTGGGTGCTTCAACTTACACAAAAATCTTTGTTTCGTGTGTCAGGCAGTAGAGGCCGAATGCTTAATTGGGAAAAATGAGTGATGACGAAAATTTCCATTTCAGCGATGATCGGCATCCGGGATCTGCAGTCAGAATTATAATTTTTTTCTAAATCATAATATTATTTACTGTTAGATTACCGATGTCCTAAATAATATTGGACATACGTAAGTTTACTGATTCATTCTAATCGTGGTTGACAACTCAAGAATCATTTGATATTGCATGTATTTACAAACATACAAGCCTATTTAAAATGCAAGAAGCCTACTTAAAGCCTATTACCCTGGGCGCTGGTGAGCGAGGTCAGCTCGCGCGGAGAGGGAAGGTCGATTGGATCAGACAATTTATGAGAATAAAGCACTTCCGAGTCTTCCCTGGCAGATTCTCAACTCATAAATTGCATTGAAAAATGTCTGAAATATTGAACAAAGTTTGTTTATGTGGGTGAGTTGCGTGTTTGAATTTTGGGACCGCATATATCCTCGATACTTATCGTTTCGGGATATTACCTGGAAATGAATATTTATTTATAAAAAGATGATAGTAAGGCCTCGCAAAACTGGAAAGAATTACAGGACCAAAAATAAAATTTTAGTGTAGATGACAGATCACAAATTTTCCACATTTTTCAAATGGAGACAGATAGAAGTTATATTCTCCATGTGAAGCATGTGTCTGAACAGGTTACATTAATTAGCACAAATTACTTTCTTATTACCAGTATTTGGGAAATTGAATAAAACATTACAGTGACTATATTCTTGATCCTGTGGGCAAGGTCGGGCTAACATGGTAACTCAAGGGGTAGAACTGGCGCGTATCCACGATACATACTAACCGTTTGGGATATAATCATATATTATAAACCATGCATGTATCTGTACTTGTGATTTTATTTAATATATTTTGGAACAGCAAAATTAGGAAATAAGGGCTTAATCCAAAGTTTAAATTAGACATTTTAGTCAGTATATGTAAATTTTATCTGAGAGGGCTAGTTGATAGTTTGGCGCAGTTAGAAAATAACGACGTATCTTTGTGTTTTTATGCATTCACATTTGATGAAAGGCAATTAAACAAAGCAGCCTATTGCTGATTTAAGCTCTACACGAAAAATCTCAACGGTGATGATGGAAATGCCAAAACGAGGTTAATCGAAATTCAAAAATGCGACTTCGCTCGAATTCGGATAGAGCAGTTCTTGAACAAGTGATTCAGGTTTCGAACGAATTAATTATTAACGCACCTTTATTTTAACATGTAATGCGATTTATTCGATTTGGTTTCAGTTGTAATCTTGGGTGCTTAAATTTGAAGCAAAAATTATCGACAATAATTAAGACTCCCACTATTGGTGTCAGGATAACTACCTGGGCGACGTTGAATTCTCTATGCTATCTTCGCTTTATTGATGTGAATGCAATCGAATGCTTCATTGATGTTTCGAATGCAATCAGCGTATAGTTTTCTCCATATATATAATTGTTATTGAGTACAATATTAAGCAACAAGACATGCTCAAACCCAAAAATATTGTATTTTTTTGCATACGGGAGTTCTCTTCACGCTACCTTCAATAATTGTGGATCTAAATACTTGTTAATATTGTTGACTTATACCGATCAAATTTCTATTAAGGTGATAACATCAACTTAAATTGTGAACAAATCGTATTTACATTCCAGTGGACCGAATGATTCCAGAAAAACATTTGTTGTCAATTTGTTCGATCCATGAGCTGCAGCAACAGGGTTTCTGTGCCAGACTTATTAAGTCACATCATGTACAAGGTAGCCCATATATAGAGCATTAATTCTTAATTGCTAGCCATTAGAATCTTTTAACAGACTTAACACTTTGCAGTGATCTTCTAATTATCATCTCCTTACATGACCATGGCTAGTTTATCTCAATTTTATTACTGCGTTCTCCATCCAAGATTATTTTTAGCAAGTAGATTGTCATCATTATACATAGTTTTATAGACTCGATAAATTCCATTGAAATGAGTTTTAAAGTTTTATTGTATCCATTAATTGCCCAAATTTCATATTATAACAACACGACCTCAACCAAAAGCTCCGAATGAAGTGCGTCATATTTGTCCAGATATGTAAATGTATATCAATCTAGATTGCATCAATACCAGCGCCAAAAAAAATGTTTAACATGCATGCGTATATTTCGTGTACCTCACCTACAAGCAAAGGTGGTGTGTATAATACAAACATGTGCTGGGGAGCTTGTATATATATGCGTAAAATACGAATATTTTACGCAGACATTCGCAGTGCGAATGTCTGCGTCAAGACTCGCCTACCAACGCGTGTCTAAAGCGAGGAAGCAATTGCCGTAATGGTTGCCGCTCAATAGGCGCTATTGAAAACTGCGGTGTTAAACATGAACTAATTCAATAGCTATGATTTAAACGTTTATATTATATTAGTTATAGTTGTCTAGACAGGTTTGTTCAAATGAATACAAGGAGGATAATGATAGGCTTTGCTCCAAGTGCAAGTATCTTGTCATTGCAATAGATTTTAATGTGGCAGTTTGTTAGCGAATAACAAATTGATTGTCACTTTTCATCTAATGAAAATATTTAAATGAATAATTGTTGACTTCAGACTCTTTACTTTCTAAATAATCGCAGAAAGAATCAGAATCTCCTTGAATTGAAACCAATCATTATCTATTTGATGAATGGTGAGTTGATGATTTATGAAACAAAATATGCATGTGGATGTATAAATTCGTAAATTATTTATTTTTTTCAGCATAAATAAATTCAGGTGATATGATTTTCTCAACACAAATATACTGTATAGTACTTGAGAATTTCTTTATACTAATCATGATTAAGCAAATAATCTCAACAATCAAAGCCTAAACGAAAAATTAGTCATGCAATCACAAGGCTCGGGCTTTTAGTGCAGCGGTGCACACGCAGGAATATGCACTGTGCGTAGTTGTCTAGCTAGATGTACCGGACAGTTGTACTCACAGTGTTGTCTAGTTAGGTGAACAGTGCAGTTGTACTCACAGTTGTTTAGTTCAGTGTACAGTACAGTCGTACTCACAGTTGTCTAGTTAGGTGTACAGTACAGTCGTACTCACAGTTGTATAGTTAGGTGTACAGTGCAGTTGTACTGCCAGTTGTCAAGTTAGGTGTGCAGGAATTGGGCGGGTGTGAACCCTTCATTTCAGCTCTGTTCTATTGTGGGACGACGAAAAGCCAGTCAGCCGCGCGCGTCACTGCATCTTCAGTTTCATGGTTTCTTTTCACGTTTTTACGAGCGATTTGCGGTATCGAGCTCACGCGTCCGCATCGCTTCATTCAGAGACAGAGAGGAAGATGATGCCTGCCAAGTGCCTTTCGTGGCACATGAATAAAAGGACTCGGCAATTCGCGGGCGCAACGCAAGCTTTCGCCACAATGCACGTCAATCTCCGCGCGGCACTATAGCGCCTGTGAGCGATAGTTCGACATCGTGAGCAAACCAACACATTTCGCACACGTCTTGCTACAAAACTTTCGGAACAGGATGAAAAATGTTCCTCGGTCCCTAAAAATTACGGTTTTACTTCGTTAAGCAAAAAAGTTTGGCTCACAAAGCAGAAATTGAGAATTGTAACGTGATTAGAAAAGTTTTTTATACCTATGGCGATGAAATAAAAATACTTAATGTTTACTTCGTCGAACAAAATCATTGATACTTTCAATGAAATTCCAGTCTAATTATCGTTAACTCAGCGGCAACTGTTTATCAGAGAAGCAAAAAGCTGATGGCAGCGTGCGTTGGGCGGTGCTCATGCTAAGCGTCTGATACACGATTTGTCAAGCGTGTTTGTCGGGCTGGGTGTGTGAGGCCTCGTCCGATTTCGTTCTATGTAAATCTGAAGTGTAATGTCAGGACTAGTTAATAAGGAATTAGGATTTAGGAGAGTTCGGTAACTAGATGACATGTGACCGCCCTGCTCTGGAGGCCGTGAGTTATGGCTGGTAGCGGAATGCAGTTGCCTTGCATGACGGAGTATAAGAAGCCTGTCATTAGCATGCAGGAATTGCCCTCCTCCCTACTCCATAAAACCCATGTATGCTTTATGATCAACGCTGCAATGGAAGTTTTGAAAGGGTAACTTTCGTAGTAATTATTAGATTGGTTGATGCGTTGCAAAAATATGAGTTTCTCGCCATAAAAACAAAGTCAACATGAGTTCGATATCTACGTGAAAGTTATATCAGAATATTGACAACCATTGAGTGAGATTGAGTTGTCTCAGAATGTAAATATGATATCATATCAAGTAGTTTCCTTCGATTGCATGTGGCGTATGCAGAGGAAGTATATATTATCTCTGTTATCTGAATCTAATGAAGTTCCAATATGAGGCCCTCTGAACTTGATTTATATGCTGTGTCATTTATTGTTAAGTACCTGCGCCGCTCCCTCCGATAACGTCAATCAGGGCTGGGAAAACATGACACGCCTCGTAACCCTACACTCAGAAGAATGAATATGTCATGTTGTCCTAATAGCGACACACTTGCTCAACCACAGCACGAGCAGGCACTGATAAATACTTTTGAAAATCTTGTTCAGATTACCAACACAATGGCAAAAATTACTATTTGGTCAAAGTCTCATTTGTTTATCTTAGTGTGTAATATAAATAAAATCTTTTTATTTGATTCTGTTATCCTTACCTGGATTTTAAAAGTAATCAAGCTGTGCGAAGATAAACAGAAAATCATCGGTCGCATTCCTTATGTATGGGTATTCGTTTTGAACGGTTTCACGGTTTATCTTTTTTTTT